CTTTCCAAATCAATTTTCAAAACCAAACGGAGACAGCGTCAGCGAGAGAGGGGGCGGGGGGCCAAGCATTTCCCTTAAACAAGCAGCGGCAGCAGCGGAGGAGTGGAGGTGCGCGGGCAAGCAAGCGTTGGCCTGGCCAAAAGGCCAATATAAAGATAAATAAAACTTAAGTCAGCCATGTGACAGTTATGGATGAGAGGGCTGTGTGCTGTGCACACAGGGTCCGGGGACCCTGGAGTTCGAGTCCTCTACTCTCTGGATCCCAAAAATAACGAGCTGCTTGTGCGATAAAAAATCTAACTTTAATACGAATTAAGATAAACAAATAATGAGACATAGATACGGCAAGATCGCAAGGGGGAACTGGTCCCTCTGCGTCTGCATCTGCGTCTGCATCTCCGTATCTGTATCTGTATCTGTTTGGAGTATCTGCATGGCAATGGAGACCTCTGGGGTGCCCAAGCTCAAGTGACAAGTGCGCGCCTAGGTCTGGGGCTTTTGACATTTCTTGAATACGATCTACAAATGATCATCATGATCATCATCACGATGATGACGATGATGACGATGATGACGATGACTCTGCTGACTTAAGGGGGATTTGCATTGGTTGTTTATGTTTTTGGTTTCATAATGCTGCTGCCCCGTGCCCCGTGCCCCGATGAAACCCTATGCCTAATAATAGGGTCGCCTTTGAAATGCATACGCGAGAGCAGAGCCTGAGCCTGAGAGCTCAAAATGGATGGAGTGCCATGCGATTGTCGGGGGCGTTAGCCATGGTGCAAAATCTAGAGCTAAAGTTGATCTCCATCTTCTGTTGGCTGTTTGGCCTGTTCGCCTGTTCGCCTGTTTGGCTGTTTGGCTGTATTGCTGTTGCCCATGCTTGACATTTATGTGAACCCAAGCCAACAATAACACGTTGGTGTACCCTCGGCACAGAGTGTATCAGAGACGCAGAGGAGACCTCCAGTTCAGATGAGTGGAGTCGAGTGGAGTGCCCAGACAGAACGTTCGTTCAGAGCCCGCGACACGACACCAAGCCAGTCCCAGTCCAAGACCCAGACCCAGACTCAGAGATGGAGACGCGAATGGGGGACTACGACTGAGAGTCAAAAGCGATCGTGGGCAAAAAGGCAAAGTCAACTCTTTCCGAGTCATGAATCTTATGACGCCTACGTGTACTTTTGGCATTTGGCATGTCAAATACAATAAGTACAGCGGCGACGACGACGACTACGACCGCCGATCGAGGGACTGACTCCGGGCACAGGCGGCGAGTGGCAGTGAGTGTACATCCCATGTACATCAGACCCATGCCACACCGAAGATGGAGATGGAGATGGAGCACCCAAAACGGTTGGGTTCCAGTTCCAATTTGAGTCTCGTCTCTCTGGGGTTCAAGACATTGTTTGTTGTGTTTGACAGCTTCGTTTCGTGGCTCTGAATCTGAATAGCGTTGCTAGGGGGAGACATTCCTTGGCTTGTCATTAGCTGACAGAAACTAATTCGCTCCAAATAAGTTCACGGCAATTGCTGATAGATTGACAGGGCAAAACCAACATTAACCACAAAAAGACAAGAAACTGGATGGAGACCAAAGGGTTAAAATATGATTGAGGGTTGAGTATTTGCAACTCTAAAGGGTAGAAATATCTGTACGCGATTTAAATTAAATGTAGATTAGAGAATGGAGGAAGATTTTCAACAAACATCTTAAAGGGAAGAAAGAAAACCCAGAAATAAAAATTAATACTTAGCTAAGCTACTATGTGAGAGAGAGAACGGGCGAAAGGGAGAGACAGGGCTTAGATATTCCGTGTAAATATTTGAGGATGGGCCATAGAACATTGGAAAACCCGCTGGCAGTTGATACCAGAACGAGAAAGAGACCCAGAGATGGAAAAGAATAAACTTTATTGGGTAAGGGGCAACTTTCTGGTGATATTATATCCGATATTTACTTAATATGCATAGCATATATTTGTTTATTCCCTTAGCTGATCCAATACATTGATTCCCATCTCTTTTTTATGTGCAGCCCCCCTCCTTAAATGCCACAGAAATCTTCCTGGCTAGCCAACTATCCATACGGAGATCTCCCCGTACGAGTCCAATTATCCTCGCCCAACTAGTGCAAAAGATCTTGGGCAGCCATCTCTGCCATCTATCCAATTTCTAACCTCCACTTGGGTTACCGCACATTCCACGCACATGCCACGCAGTGCCAGTGCCCCCTACTCTGTGGCAAAGTCCAAGTCAACCCACCTGCTACCTTCGGTCCACTTAATCAGCGAATAATTCATGACACAAATTCTGGCATGCAGAAAAGAGCAGCAACGAGGAAGAAGATAGAAAGAGAGAGAGAGGGAGTCCCTCCTGTAGCTCGTGTCGCTGATCACGCATAGAAATTATTATTGTGCTTTAATATAGCCATAAATCTGTACATTTAAAATGCAGAAAATATCGCATCCTGCTGCGAGAGTCGAACCAGAATGGGACTTGCGATTGGGATTGGGATTGGCCCCCCCCCCCACTTATGACTTCATCTGCATTTTTATGGCGAATGCGAATGCTCTGGCGATAATAAACCCTGGCCTGGCCTGGGACTGGGACTGGGCCTGGCCATCGAGATCGAGAGCCGTACCCGAAACGCCACCCATGCGTGGTCTCTTACCTACCCCCCCACAGCCAGCCAGGGACCCTGGGTGGAGAGTCTAGGCTGCTGGCTGGCTGACTGGCTGGCTAGCTGGCTGCTTCTTTGAGGCAATATCAATAACACTTGCAACTCTGTCTGTGACTGCAACATGATGCGACAACGTCGCTGTTGCTGTCGTTGAGAGCTCGGACAATGTCACTGAACCAGTTCTCAATGTCTTCATATAGATTTCCAGCGAGGCACACAGCCTCAGCCACAGCCTCAGCCACAGCCACAGACTGAGAGGAGAGTCAACCTCTGCACTAAATATTTACAACCTCCACAATATCTCAACGACCGACAACTACAGCAAACACACAAAAAAAAAAGAAAAAAAAAAGAGGTCTGCCTCGTCTTTCTATCGTTAGCCTGGCGGAACAAGTTCATGCAACTGCACCACAAAAGGTGTTCAGGCGACCAAGACCAGCCCAAGACCAGCCCAAGAGCAAGACCAAAAAGCTAGCCAAGTGTCGTTGTGGCCATAAATTCAATTGAATATTACGCCAATTGCCTTTTTGTCTATTGCAAAAAAAAAAACAACAACAACCTTCGGGGAGGAGTCATCAGCATCCCCAGTCGCACAATCCTCAAGCTCGTCTGGTGGGGTAAACTGGTTCCATCATCATCATCATCATCATCAACAGCAACAGCAGCATCATATATGTTGGCTTGGTAGATACTCTGCGTACTATAAGCAGATTTTAGTTCATCTTTGAATGCACGCTAAGCCGCTTTGGGGGCTGCTAATTAGGCGACTTTCAAGGCGACTTCATCCATTGGCGGCTGGCTAATATGCATCAAAATGTGTCAACACCTAGAGCTCTGGAGCTCTAGGCAAGAGGAGTGCGGCTTAATTGTTAACTTCGAACGTACACACATACTGCTATCTGGCGGTGATTGCACTAGTTGGAGCGGACCTATCCGACCATGTTTTCACTCCATTAACGCGATGAAGTGGAGAGCAGGATCCTGCTGAAGCTGTTGCTCTGGCAGCCGCCTGAACTGGGTCTGGTAATGATGCCTGACGTTGACCGATCGTCGACCGCAAAGCCAAAGTAAAACCTGGCCCCGGCCCCGGCCCCGGCCCCAGCCCCAGCCACAGCCCCTAGCCTGGCCTGGCCTGACCGATCAAAAGTCGTTCAACTTGCCGGAACTGGTCGTAAAAGATCACCTGGCCACCATTCCAATGCCAGCTCTAGCTTCAGCTTCAGCTTCAGCTCCAGCTCCAAACTCCCATTCCAATGTCTACTACTCTTTGCCTATGTGGAGCATTTTCTTCTTGGACTCGCAAAACGCCAACTCCAAACTCCAAGCTCCAAGTCGTAGCTGAGGCTGACGCTGAGGCTGTAGCTCGCGTGGCACAATATTAATGGCCGCCAGAGAGTTCAGGTCCGGCCATGCCATTGCGGAGTGGAGTTCAAAACCCAAAAACATAGTTAATCTTGTCTCTTCTGCTGCCGTTGAGGAGCGGAGCACCGAGCAGCCTCCCTACACACGGTTTTTGCCATGCGGTTTTTGTTGGTTGGTTTGTTTTTTGTTTTGTTGGCAGGAAACCCCCTTGAACAAAACGTCCGAAAAAAAAAAACAGCAACAAAAATAAACGTAAAACGAACGCGTTTATGTGCTGTCGATTTGCCTCTTGGGTAAATGAACTTTGACTGCTGCCCGCTGATGGGGTTCAAGAATGCCACTCGCACCCATGTCCAAGTCACTCGCGAAGGTCTCTCTCGCTGTCTCCCTCTGGGGCCAGGCTCAGGTAAATGCTGAATGCTGCCTGGCATTTGGGATTTGCTGATCTTTTGAGTCTTGGGATCTCGGGGATTGCTTTAATTCGGTTTTGTATTTTGCAAACATTTTTCAAGGTTGGATTTTGGTTCTCGACAGATTTTAAATGAAATTTATGACAGATTTGTACCCAACTAAAAATACCTGAGTATTGTGGGAATGATCCATGCAATCCATGCATAGATTTCTCTGTGAGAGATTAGGGATTCAATTTCTTTTTGGTACGGAAATACTTCCCTCAGCTCTCAACTACCTAAGGAGAAATTTTTATAAATTATTTCCTTCGGGACGTTCAATCAACCTCCCTCTGAAAGAGATTTTCCCCGAATTAAACTTTACTTTCTAGCGGGAGATATTTATGTGTGTCCCCTCCCCCCCATCCCCGTCAGCTGCTCCATAAACATCAATTAGTTACAGCCAGTTTGAGGGGAGGGAAATCTTCCTTTCTCCAGCGAAATCTCAATGCTTAATCAACTACAAATGGGGCTGAAGGGAGCGGAGAATGTTCTGTTTTGCTCACCTGAACATATTCGGCGCATATATCAATTCCACCCACAAAGCCGCACACATCGTCCACGGACCAGGAGTTCACCTCCTCGCTCTGCGCCTGACACTGACGCGGTCCACCACCAGAGGCTCCTGTGCCTGGGCCTGTGCCTGTGCCAGTTGCTGCGTTGGCGTTGGCATGGGCATTACTGGTGCCTGGTTGGAGCTCCTCGGACTGGTCCAGAAGTGGCGGGGATGGTGTGGATGAGGCTGTTGTCGCTGTCGTGGCCGTGGTGGCCGTTGAGCTGGCACGACGCGTCGTCCCTAGCAGGCCCTCGGGCTCGGGCTTAAAGCGCTTTGCGGCTGGCGGTTGGGAGCTCAAGTCTAATGGCGCCGCCGACGCAATCGATGAGCCACCAGCAGCAGCACCACCACCACTACCACCACCGACGGGCGCCACCGAAGTCGAAGTCTCTGTTGTGGAACGTGGACTAGACTGCCGCGAAGCGTGATGCTGCTGCTGCTGTTGTTGTTGTTGCTGCTGTTGCTGCTGCTGCTGTTGCAGCTGGGCCGAGTAGATGAAAGCGGGTGTAACAAATTGAGCCGCCTGCTGGAGCGCTGCATTCAGAGTGGAACGTGGCGTGCCCGCTGCACTGGCACTGGGCGACGAGGCATTGGAACTGGAACGTGGATGCTGTGAGTGCTGCGGATGCTGTGGCTTGCCGCGCAGAATTTCCTGGATTTGGGCATCTTTGACAGCACGCACCTACAGCGGGGACAAGAAATGGGAAAAGAACGGGAGGTGAGCATTAATTTAGAATGAATTTTCAGTAATGATAGATAGTAAGGATACCCTTTATTTGGTCTACTTTTTTGCAATTTCGACTGTTGAAAGCTTCCTGCCTGGCGCACTATTTTTCACAGAGTAGCTTAGCAGTGAATTCTAACGAGTACATGGCCTCTCTCTCTCTGGCTCTCTCTTCACTGCTACTCTATCCTAGTGAGACTCCTAAGATTATCTATAGAATATGTAGTCCGTTACACCATAAAATGTTGCGGGCTATCCCCTAAATTAATTCAGCTATTGGTGTAATCTTTTTTAAATATATTAAATTAGTAAATAAGTTTTAAAGATATGAACATGCTGAAGCTATATATGAGGGCTTAAGTCTTGAATATTATGGCTACCATAATAATCGCTTGGGATGTGGAGAGCTCCGAAATCTACGAATGCTCTGAAGTGCTTATAAGTCAAATCTATGTATTGTTATATACTTATGCCCACCACTTATAGATATTTTCAAGTTAAAATCATTTCCTTCTGTTACAAAAATCAATAGCAGTACAATAAACCCCCAAGCCCTTGCACAATTACGGGGTATAAATAACCTTTTTGGGTGGCCCAATCACAGAGTTGTTGCTTGGTTTTTTTTTTATGGCTACACAGTACTCACCAGCGTCATCAGAGCCTGGGTGCTGCTCATGTCTATCAGTGGCGGAAAAATGCCCGACGAGAAGGGCAAAAAGCTGGACATGAACGGCGAAACACTGGCCGCTGCCACCACAGCGGCCATTTGGCTCTTGGCCTGCTCCGTGGGCGACTGTGCAGCGGCTGGCGGTGGCAACGTACCAACACTGGCCACAGAGCCCACGCCTGCTCCAGAGTTTCCGGCTCCTGCTCCTCCGCCCCCACCGCCTCTTCCTTCGGCCACACTCACTTTGGTCTCCTTGGGCAGACTGACAGCAGCCGCCGACGCAGCAGCCGCCGAGGGCGAGAGCTTCTTGGCCGCATTGCTGGCATTGGTGGTGCAGTTGCTGCTGCTGTTGTTGTTGTTGCTGTTGCTGTTGCCGCTGCTGCTGCTATTGGCATTGCCCGACTTTGTGGCGGAGCTGCTGTTGCTGCCACTGCTGCTGTTCTGCTGTGTGGCAGTGGTTGCTGCTGCCGCTGCCGAGTTGCCTGTGCTGCTGCTGCTCTCGTAATAGGAATTGCGTCGCGTTGCATGGCTGCTGGAAAGTTTCAACACGAGAATGAGTATTTGGGTGGATGGATGCTCAAGGATTTGCGCTTACTCATTGGGATTGGTGTTATTGTATTTGGCCGCCAGACATCGCATAATGTCCGAATAGTTGCGGGTGGAGAAATCCGTGGCATTTGTATTGGAGCTCGCTGGGGCATTGCTGCCCGAACTGCCTGCACCACTACCTTGGTTCACATTGTTGCTGTTGCTTGTGCCGCTGCTGCTGTTGTTGTTGTTGTTGATGTTGCCACTGCCACTGCCACTGCTGATGTTGTTGTTGCGATGCTGCTGATGCTGTTGAATGGTATTCAACAAATTTGTAGACAAATTGTGAAGCGGCATGTGTGTCGTGGCTTGAGCACTCGGTGGACTCAATCTTTGTTGCTGTTGTTGTTGCTGTTGCTGCTGCTGCTGGTTGGGTGAGACACCACCGTTGCCACCGCCACCGCGAAACGATGATGATGAGGGCGTGGCGCTGCGAGATCTACAACACAAAATAAATATGCCCAAAATGAGCAAAATAAACATCTGGATTAGTTATGTTAAAGAGAACATTTAGCGAGGCTTTGCATAAGTCGAAGGCAGCAGGCAGCAAGCTGTGTGACATCAGCGTACATAAATATTACAGCATAGAAATACTGCTCCCATATGTTGCTAAATTTGCATTAATATTTAATTATCTTCAGTTCAACCCACTCCCCCTGGTGGCCAGGTGTCGCAAACAATTGGATTATTTGTCATTCTCCCCCTCCAACAACCGATCAAAGATCCCATCCGAACCGATCCGAGAGTTCTCTCTCTCTGTTCGCTTATTTGACATGCTAATGAGTGGCTTCCGTGAGAAGCACTCCAGTAAGAACCGAACCCAAGCGAACCCCTTGGCACAGGTGTCTGCGAACTACGATCTAAGTCTTGTTGACGTTTGATATTTAGTTAATTTCCATTTCCATGCGGCATTGGCCATAATGCGATTATGTGCCGGGCCGTCCAGTTGACATGGGAACGAGGAGTCCCACGAGGAAAAGGAGTGCTGCTGGTTGGCAGCTGCTAAGGAAAGCAAAGGCTGGGAGAGTTTACACGATGGGAGTTCTGTCCGGTTTAAGTCGCTCTTGAAATAAGTTTAATTACAGTTTAATTCACTTTTAGTGCTTGAGAATCAAAACAGCTGTTTGCTGCTGCCGTTGAATGGCTCCGTGGAACCAGTTTCATGCGCAAAATGAACTAGTTAATGAACCAATCGGTTCATTGGAATTATACCACAGTTCCATTTGGAAAACAATAAAATTTTCCGTTCAGTTTTAAAAAGAAAACAAATCGTTTTTAATCAGTAAAATATTCCGATGCACATATTATGTATTTATCTTTATTAATCTCTTGTGATGTCATTTGAAGCGAATGTGTCCGTTCACTTATGGGAAGTTTGTACAGAAAATCAATTTAATTCTCAAAATTCGAACTCTAACAGAACAAAGGAATTATTTTTATTACTTTCTGTACTTAGTAAAATTTAATCCAAAAAAATAATAATAATTATTTTATTTTAGTGCAGGGTTGCATTTTGATAAATATTTCGCACATCTCTTGAACAGAAAACCCCTACTCTATGGACATATCTCCTTTAAACTTTTAAAGCTAAATATATGTAATAGTTTCTGTTGTTTTGTGTTTCTGTTTGAAGAACATCTTTAAATAGTTTGAATTTTTCAATCTTGTTTTTGTGCCTCGAACATGGAACATTTGTCCCGAAAAACAATTTCATTTTGGATGCTCTCGGAGAACGAAGAATCAGAATCAGAATCAAAGCCAAATCCATGTTAACCAATGTCGAGCATTTGTGGCAAACAATCTGCCAAGCATGGCCATAACTCATATGCAACTAACCGCCAGGTTAGGCCAGAGAGACCAACATGCCACCAACATGGTGCATGCTGCATGGTGCATGGTCTCTACTCTACTCTACTCTACTCTGCTCTACCCACCCATTATCCATTCCTAGAGCTGCAGCCTGGACCTGTGGCTTTCCAACACGAGCCACAGCCTCCCCGAAAAACAACAACAACAACAACAAAAAGAAACCAAAAATAATCAGCATAGATTTCTGCCTAGATCGGCAGCGGGCCGCCGCCGGTCACCTCCTAAACTGAGCGCGGTGCCGGTGGCAGCTGTGGCAAGTGCCTGGCTTAGAGTTGCAGCACTCTCTATGGGTTCGGTTGCATGCCACAGAAAAAAAAAAGAGTAACTCGTGCTGCACGTCGTCGTCGTCGTCGTCGTCGGTTGGTCGTTGGTCATGTCGTGTCGCTTACGGAGGCTGCAGCACAAATTTATATATAGCAGCTATTGGTGGTGGTGCTGCCACTGCCACTGCCCCTTGCCACAGACCCACCTGCCACTGCTGCCCCACCTCATCTGCACCGTTCTGCCTGGCCGCCACCCCTCATCTAGTTGCTCTCTTGTTCCTCATGCTGTTTCTGCTGTTGTTGTTGTTGTTGCCATTGATTTATCGTGATCTGTTGGTTGTCGATTTTTTTTCTTACTTGTATTCTCGTTGTTGTTTTTTTTTTCGATCATTCGCTGCTTGCCCCTCCGCTGCTGCTGCTTACAACTTTGTTTTTGTTTGTTCTCCTTTTTTTTTCTGTTTTTATTTTTTTTTAGTAATTTTTTTTCGTTTTCGTTAAAAATGTTGATTATTGCAAATTGCTTTGGCGATTGGTAGCAGCTACTTAGTTGTGTTTTCCAGCCTGTTCTTGGCAATTGTTTGAACAGCAACAGCAGCAGCAGCAGCAGCACACGGGGGGCGGAAAACAGAGGAAAATCCATAGGAACAACAAAAAAAAAATGCTTTATGGTGGCGATTATGTTGGCTACTGCTTAATGCTACCAACCAACTCCAACAGCCCCCACCGCCATCACAGGTGGGTAGGGTAACGGTTTTGTATGCTGTCGCACAGATAGATCTACAGATCGGTGGCATGCCTAATTGGTTTTTACGAGCGGCAGGCAACATGTGCCTTGTCTCGGTATGCAAATGGTGTCTATTGTTACGCCTACACAGGGCGCTGCCCCTGCCCTGACCGATAAGTCCCTAATAAAATCAAATAAATATACAGACAAATGTCAGGGAGTACAGTGCGTTTCAAAAGTGTAGAGCGGCACAACAGGATGAAATTAGGTACAACAAAATTCCATGCCAACGAACTACGGGGAGATACGATACTGATATTTAACATATGGAATGTGTGGTGATCATTTATAAATTTTCGTTTACTTATCGAATCGAAACTGTAATCGTGTAATATTTTGGCTTATCGATTTATCCAACGAACTGTAACATTGAAATTTTATAAGTCTTTACTCTAGGCAGGTTTTCGTATTACCTTTTATTCACTACTGTAATTATTGCATAACATACTCGTAAGATATTGGTTGCAACTGCCTTATAGTTTTGAGTCACACTGCCCGCAAATATGTATATATTTAAATATATTTAAGAAGTATCACATGTATGTATACTCGTGTGTTTACGATACCAAAAAAGAATGCCTGTGTCAGAATCAGTTGTCAGAAACTAGCTCACCAAAGCAGACACAAAGAATGGAAGGCTTGTGGATTTGGTGATCCGATGCCTCGAATGCCCTTGCTGTCATCTGATATAGAGGAGTACTTGATAGATATTCAAGCTGCTGTTTGAACTGATCTAAAAGGGAAAGGCAACTGGACAGAAGAGCAGTCCAACTTAAGGGTAGAAGCAGCCGAAGAATTCAATATTCAAATGTGTTTAACATTTTGCGAATAATTTGCAATTTAATGACTTGTAGTCTAGACAACTTTTTTCCAAAATATTTCAATGGTTCAATAGAATATTTAGAGCACAGGTAAATATTATGAATGAGCTTAGACCATAAATAAGGCATTCGATCGATTTTTCCTTATAAAAACCAAGAAAAATAAAATAAAAATACAATGAAACATTTTTCCAAATTTTAAACTGAATAAAGATCAACAACATTAGGCAGGTCAAAACAGATGATACGATCTCAAACTCAATCTCAATCCTCAAAAGGTTAAAGATCGTATAAAAAATGAATGGAGACCCAAAAGCTGTTTGGAGACTGAATTTTGTGAATGAACCTGAACTATAAATATTAAGCAGAAATACATATTCTTGCGTCAAAGTAAAATTTGCATTTATTTCACAAAAAAAAAATATATATAAAGAGATTCCCAAATATTATACGAAATCAATTCCAGATATCATACGCCCCTCAAAAAACCTTCATTTATCATACGAAAACCATCATCGGCTAGTTGCCCTAATAGGCCTCACTAATTTGTGGATAAACAATTATAAATTATGAATATTATTCGAATTATCCCAATGAGCGACCACCCTGAGCGATAACAGCAGCGCCACAGCTGGGGTGCTCCACAGCTGCCAGATACCAGATGCCAGATGCAAGATACCTAATCGTATCGTATCGAATCGAATGCTAAATCTAAATGACAGGCTATCGTGACTCTTTGTGCCTGCTTGAGCCACTCAAGTCCACACCTCAGGTGGCGATAGACTAGCATGTCCCATTAATATTAATAAGGCCCAGCCGGCGACGAACGGCGACCTGCCCAAAATGTATCGCCAAAGAAGTATCTATGTATCTTTTGTGTCGTTACTTCGTCTGTTTCCATCTATGCCGTGGCCAAAGGCTTGTTTATGTTTCTGTTTTTTTTGTTTTTTTTTGGTATACATTATCTTTGGCCGGGTATTACCATTTGGTGCAGAAGGTTTCATTTTTAAGCCATAGATAGGAATACAAGGATCCATCAGGATATTTGCAAAAGTTGCAATATTTATATTTTTGAATGCATTAATACAGCATCGATTATAGGATAAAAATATGGTCCAAAATAAGCGGTTAAGCCTAAACTATAACTTTTACAGCTGTAGGCGCGTAATAATAAAGAAATTTAGACTTAGTACATAGAAAATATCCCCGGAAATGGGGATTTTGCAGCGATTCCTTTTTAATAAAGCCGCAGCATCACTTAGAAAATTCAACCATGATCTGGAATATGGAATACTGAACTGGCAAACATGAAGTCTAATCTTGAACATAGTAGTTTAGCAGAAAAAGCAGAGTTTCAGACTTGATAATTCGTGTTAACTAGCTCTCTTTAGATTCTAAAGTTTAGAGGGTATCAAAGGGTATCAAAACTTCGTTGTTGCCATAGTTTCTCTGTGTGTCTCTTGTGTGTGGTGATAAATTGCTTTTATTTATATTAGTTAAAATATAATCTTTGACGCCATTAATTTAGTTGTGCGTATTAATTGCTGCTGATCTGTGCAGACCGATCTATGTTTTGCTTTTTGCTTTTGTTTTGTATTTGCATTTACATTTCAAGTTTTACAAGACGTTTTTCTTTCGTTTTCTTTGCTTCTTCGATTGTGGTGGATTCTTTGTTGGTGCCTTTTGGATTGTGCCTTCTGTCGTTGCCTGTTTGCTTTTTGCCTTTCTGTTTTTGACAGCATAAGCGTGCTCTGTCTTGTGTTTGCTTTTTGTTTTTGTGTGTGTGTTTTTTTTTTGTTGGTTGCTTTGATTAATTTACTTTCGGGCTGCGAACAGAAGCAACACAGCATCGATTTGGTTTCTTTTTCGAGGTATTAATTTATGAAAATGTTAATTAATTTGTCAGGCGCTGACAGCCGTCGAGACGGCCACAAATTACTTGATAAATAGTCTCGGGTTCGGAGCGACTATTCTTTCCCTCTCCAAACAAAAACTATCTATGAAATTTATGTGATTTGGAATAAAAATACAATAAACATCTCAGCGGAAAATATGGCTGGCAAGGGGAAGGAGAATAAGCCACAGGACGAGGAGTCTCCTCATACGCCGGTGCACACGCCCGAACCCAGCACATCCGTTCCCGAACGCACCATCCTGCGCACAGCCATCAATCCGGAGATAGGACACCAGCATCCAGGTGCATCGATATCCATAGATGTGCACACTGACGGCATCGAGATCGACATCGAGGAGCGGCCCTCGGACACCGAATCGATCAAGCAACTGCGGCAGCGCAGGAGGCGATTCGACGAGTTGCGTCGCGATCATTACAATCGAATGTACTACGACAATGGCAGCATTGTTCGTGGGTCGCAGTGTCTGAGTCCAGAACTAGCCGCCGAAATCGAGAATGACAACGAGAATGAGGGGGATGTTGAGAAGAAGAAGGAAAAGCCAGAGGAGAAGGATAAGTCCAAATAGTGACAGCGAGCGACAGTACTGATGATTAAGAGAGCATATCCTGGCTCATGGCTTCGTTAACCCACAATAAAAGCTGCTATTAGAAACACATTAGAACCTATTAGAATCTCTACCCAATAAAGTTCCGCCAAAGGGAGAGGTACACTGCGATTTGTTTCTCTGGTTTTTATATCAAAAGCGAAGCAACAAATTTCGCGCACTCTCTTTCTCTCTCACAGCGTAGCTTAGTCTCTCCTTTCTGGCGATATTTTATGGAGAAAGAGAAGGAAATCTCTTCCCTCCACTCACCTGGCAAATGCTCCGACGGTTATGTCGCCATTGTGGCTGCTATTGCTGCCGGGACTGAGGCGCTCTCTCTTCACGCCGTGGCTCAGGTGCTGCTGCTGCTGATTCTGCTGCTGACTCGATTGATGGTTGCCCAGGCTGCTGCTTCCGCTTCCGCTTCCGGTTCCGCTGATGCTGCCACAGTTCATGCTGTTGCTACTGTTGTTGTTGTTGATGGTGTTGTTGTTGTTGTTATTGTGAATGGTTACCATGGGCGTGGCATCCATGTGGATGCCACCATCCTTGTGGCCATCCATATGCGACAGGGGCGACAGCTTCTCGTTCTTGACCTTCTCCAGATAGAGGGCGGCATAGGCCGCCGCAGCTGCTGCTGCTGTGGTCGCCGCCGGACTGGAGGACGTCGACGATGCTGAGGAGGTGGCTGTGGCAGTGCTGTGGCTGGGTGTTTGGGCCTGATTGGAGCTGCCACCACCAACCGTGTTGCCACCCCCGGTGGCTGCTTCGCTCAGCTTCTTGGCGGTGCTCTCGATGGCCGCCCCATAACCGCTCAATAGCAGCGATCGTTCGCTGAGCATTTTCGCTGCTGAGGGGATGGAGGAGAACGGTTCGGAGAGTAGCTGGGAGCGCAAATCGCTGGCCAGACGCTCCAGATGTTTCCGCTTGTTGCAGCTGGTGCTGGAGCTGGAGGTGGAGGTGGTGGCGCTGGTGGTGGCCGCCGCCGAGGAGCCAAAATGATGCTCGTCGTGGGTCGCCGGTTGCGTTGCACTGCGACCACCCACAATCGCTGTTGTGGCCTTGGCTGGCTTCTGCTGCAGTATGTCGGTGGGTGCGTTACCTGTAACGATACCAAAAAGAGACTCTTAGACTCTGTTCACACACACATTCAACTGCTTCAACTGCTTCTTATTCTCATACCCCAGAGGCAGAGGCACACCAGCCACCAGTGCGTGCTTCTACCCCAGCGAAAGCTTACTGACAAACCAAACAAAACAAAACGAAAAACGTTTCTGCTCGGGGAAGTGTCGAGTCGAGTCGAGTCACATGCAAATCGGCCAAAGGTTAAAATAACTTATAATATGTTAACAAAACCATTGACCTGCAATGTTGAACCCCTAAGCTAATTATCGGGGTGACTGGGTGCCACTGGTTCTGCTGCTGCCAAGTGAGAGTGAGAGTGCGAAAGTGCACACATCATATCCGCACACTACTCGTAGTACATACAGTAGAGAACACAACAGTATATGCAGTAATCGTACAGCGCGGTAGGGTATTCTATGGGGGGGAATATTGCCAGTGGAGCAGCAATAGAAGAGGCGCAAAATAAACATAAAAAATGCTGATAAGAGATGTTGTAAGAGCTTTAAGCACATTTCAGAAGGGTTCGTAATTTTGACCCTTACTTAATTATTTATTAGGGGTATTCTAGTACACGTTTGTGAATATATATTTATTTATTTATTTAAGTAATGCTACCAAATGGGATTTTCTTCTGCCTGGCCACATAAATTATATTTAAATAAGAAAGCGTTTTAAACATAATTCCAATCAATGTATGTTTAAGCTGCTACCAATAATCCCTATGCTCAATAAGAAAAAGAGTACAAACGCAAACACCACTACAGATATATGTACATATGTACATGTAACCATATATTATATACTCGTAGAAACAATGTCACATTCGCATACATTGATCTTTTATGGTGCGGTTGAAACTTCCGTCGCAGACAGCCAGCCCCTGGCCCGGGGAGTGGCGCACTGGCAGGGCGCATAAATTGTTTATTTATTGTGTGTATACATGCGTTTTTTTGTGTCTCTTTACATTTCAGTTATTTACTTTTGGTAGCAGCATATAAATAATTTAATTGTAATTTAAATGGCAAAAATTAAAAAGCAAATACATGTATCGATGCGTGCACACAAGCATTGACCTTTAGCTGTCCGCTGTCCGCTGGCAGTGGCTCAGTGGCAGGCAGCGGGAATAAGGAAGAGAGAGAGAGAAATCCCAATACCCAGCAGGTGTAAATTAATGCAAGCCACACCGGGTAGAGACCCAAATCCAAACACAAACCTGGAGCTCCCCAAAGCTCCAGACCTTCCTTTTTTTCCGCTTCTCTCGCATGTTCAGCAACCAAAGCACACAGCATAAATAATTAAATGAAATATTTACAAGCGAAATTAGCAACAATTTGTAGTTTTAAGCTCGTTACGATCCCCAATCGGTATCGAACAGAACAATCAAAGCCAGACAACAGAAACAGAATCAAAAGTTCGGCAGTTGCACAGCAGATCCCCTGCGGATGGGTTTCATATCAAATTTCACTATTCTCGGATTTAGATCCGATTCGATTGGCGACTGGAATATGCGTGTGCGTATATATAGTATGCTGTTTAATAAGTTGGTCGTGCGTTATCATAAAATTAAGTTTATCATTGGTTAGCATAGAAATTAAGCTGTGGGGCCATACAAACAAAAACAACGAAGAGAGAAAGGGGAAAAACAAAACCAAAAAAAAGACCGCACCAAGGTGGTTGAACAGTGGAAAGGTAATGAAAGAATATTACTGAAAATTAGTTGAAACTCTAAGAAATGACATGTTTCATAATAACTATTCTCATGAGGAAGAATGTAAAGTTTTTTAAATGGAATGGGCCAATGGTAATTATTTAATTATCAAAATTTGTTCGCAAATATATTTAAATTTTATTTTCATTCTATTTCAAATATATTTTTACAAGAAAAATAAAAAAATTTAAAACTTCATGCCCCACGCACTCTCTCTCTTTTTCTTCCACTTGTTCACAGAGTAGCTTAGCAGTCAATGGTATATTCAAACTAATTACCAAACAAGTCCAAAATCAAAGTGCTATTATTTATCCTTTGCAATTCAAAATATTCCCCGAATGGTAGGTATATCCTTCAATTCTGTAAATTGTTATCCCTTTTTGGCAAAGTTTATTGCAGATTTGTTATGAGATTAATTCTGATTTCACTCTGCAAATATATTTTCTTTTTTAACACTAAATTTCCACTTAAAACTTTCTGCAAAAAGCATTCTCTCTCATTCGCATACTCTTGCTCCACGGTGCTCTGGCATTTGGGATTGGATATTTTTGTCGTAGATCGCTCGCTCACCCAGCACTCCCCATAGACCCCATCAATGGCCGGGGCCAGCCTGGCTGTGGCTGATTGGCATCGCTTGGTGCCAATGGTGCTAAGTGCCGAATGCCGAATGTCGAAAGCCGATGATGATGATGATGTGGAGGGAGGGCCAACAGCGACCGCAACGGACCCCAGAACGATGAGGAAGGTGAGGGCACGGAGCTATACAGTGAGAGCGCGAAAGAGGGATGCAGAGACAGCCAGGGGGCTGCGACCGAGACCCAACATGTGCCATGCGCGACACTGTTGACTTTTTCCAAGTTGTGTGTGTTATGTTTATACCCGTCGTCACACGTGGATCACAAGGGGTATGTTGGATTATTCAAGAGGGTACTCCATGCAAGGTAAAAGCTGGATGAAAGAGTTTTCGACACGATCAGGAATATATTTTCTATAGATTTTCGATATCCGTCTGTGGTTACCACAATTTTAGGGATACAGGGATAATTATTTATACACTTATATATTAAGCTTTTAACTACCGAAATACTAAAAATCATTACAATCAGTAAATACAAGCAGCAAAAATAAAGAAATAAATAAATTTGTTTGCTAAAAGTGCAACTAAATTTTGCTTTGAATGATTTATTCCCATTTAAATTAATTTAAATTTAAATTTACTTTGACACGTTTCGGATTGTTGCAATCCTCATGGCAGGGTATCCTCTAGTCTCAAGATAAATTCTTCTTGTTTTTTATTTGTTGTTGTTCTTGTCGTGCCCATACCTGAGCGTGGGATTGTGTGTGTGTGTGTGTGTGTGTGTGCGTATCTGTGAATGATCCGCACAGTGACAGGCCGCATTTCGATCGCGACGCGACGCTGGGTCGACAAGTGTCAATAGTACTAATAGACGACGCCGCCATCGAAACTTAGGACCGAGCACGTTCACACATAGAGAAAGAGAGTGAGAGAACACGGGAGAGAGAGAGACATAAGGTAGAAGCGCATTGAGTTCTAAAAACGGTAAAGTTCATTGCCATTTGGCTCGAGATGGCAAACACAGCTGTCCGGGTCGGATCGACCTGTCATGTGACCATTTTTCATGCCGTCGAAAGAAAGCACATTGAAAATATATATCTGCACTCACAATAATAATAATAATAATAATAACGTGTAATTTTGTACGAATTTTGATAGATAGATGGATTGGCATCGAGCGGCAGGCAGCAGCTGTCTTTGATGGGTCACACACTCCCAAGTCTAGACACGACGAAAGACCTTGTGGAAAAACCCTTGAGCAGCCAATCATCGATAGTTGTTTGCTACTATTTGCTCTCTCGGTGGCCCCGTGGCCTCCCGTCTGAACCCAGAGTCGGCCGGCAGTCGTCGTCGGTCGCCCTATTTGACTTGCATGAATCAGTGGAGAGAGTCCAACGATGGCGAGTCCAATGGAGAGTTCAGTTCCAGGCTTATCAGCTGATTCTCTTTCTTTTCTTTTTTGTTTTGTTTTTGTTTTTGTTTTATTTGTTGTTTTGTTGACCTCATTTAAAAACCAAATAGCCCCAGCAATACGCAGCCAAGAGCAAATCCCCCTTACCCTTTATGCAAACTCTGCCTTTGTTATCGCCCCTGTAACGGAACGGGGTGGACACAGGGTTCAACTCGTTCCATAACAAACATATGTATGTATATTCTCGTATATAGAGAAGGTAATATTGAGCAGAGCTGATACTCGTAAATAGGGGCGGCCTGGTCTCGCTGGCCAGCATTCATAACAGGGGGAGAATGGTGGGGATTCGCCGATTTTGGCCTCTTGGACGTTGAGCTTCGCGATATTTTCCCACTGAATACTGCAGTGGTTTCTTGTTCTGGTTTTTCCCTTGACTCTCCTTTACTCCCTGTTGTCGCATTCTAATAGATAAACATTTATAGAGGTCTATCTATCAGTATCTATCTATCTATCTATCTGCATCGTTCCTCAGTTTTGAGTTCGAGTTCGAGTTGGGTTTCAGTTTCCTTTTTTACGTGATTTCTTGTATCTCAAGTGTTGTGCTCTCTGGCCGTTGGCTCTTATCGCACTCTGCCTTGTTTGTCCAAGTGCCAGTTGAACTATATACTCTACTCGTATGTATGTGTGTATTATGATGATGATGATGATGTGTATATTGCCATATTGTGAGGGGGCTTAGTACACTCTCATATATGGCCTTCTCATGGTTCATCATGTTTTTTTCTGTTTGTGTGTGTGTGTGTGTGTGGTTGTCTTTTCCCCCCTTTGTGTTCCACTCTTTTTCGTTGCTCTCAATTCTTTTTGGGGTTTTCGAAAATCATGTCGCATTTATTAGATCATCAAAAGGTGTTAAAGATTGTGCCCCGTTTCACTGATAATATTTTGGCCCTGCCTGGCCTTTTGTGTGTGCGTTGCCTTAGCCGTAGCCGCAGCCGTAGCTGTAGCTGTAGCTGGAACTGGAGAGCTCCAGTTCAATTGTTGTGTGTGTGGAAAGTAATTCAAAGTTCATTAGAGATCTCTCGCGTCTAACTGTTGACTTTTCATTTACCTCGCGACTTGGCCACACAATTTACACAGAGTTTTTGGCTGCCATATAATCGTATTTGAGTATCATATATTTCTGTGGGAAGTGGCCCCGCCTTATCTTTATGGCATAGCAATGCCCAGGGGGCATGACATTTGGTTCAACAACGCAATGTGGAAATTACCCGAAAACAAAAC